GTATGTATGTATGTATGTATGTATGTATGTATGTATATATGTATGTATGTATGTATGTATGTATGTGTGTGTGTGTCACGAGGAGGTCCCATTAGTGCCTGGAAGTGCCGAATGCGATGTGGTTTGGGGAAATGGGCGACTGGTCAAATGAGACTGAACTGGTTGGGAAATTTGCTTGGTCCAGTTGGCCAACGCACCTAGCGGTTGTGTAACAGTCGTCTTGCCTAAGTTGAGCTTCGATATCAACAATTCCCCTTATGCCTAGCCTCGAACACTCTATCCGACATGGGAATACGATTGAGTGGTTGGGAGGACAAGAGGTGGCAAGTGTGTTAGTGGATAGGTGAGTGTGAATGGGTGGACGGGAGTGAGGGATGGAAGGAGGGAGAGAGAGCGCAGGCGATTGATTGATGCGAGCTAAGACGACATGCCAAATTATGTTCATCCTTTCTGTGCTTCAGCCTCAACTGTAGCCGGGTCTCGGGGACACAAGCGGGTGTGTGTTACCAAAATGTGCAGGTGAAACGGCGGGACGAGGCATTCCGGAGATTGGCGGTGGAGAGAGAACGAATCTGTCGCCCTGAACACATGTCCTTGAGGTGTTCTTGTCTCTGTTGTTATGTTCTTGTAAATGTAGACACTTGCGCATCCCCGCAGGGGCCGGAATCTCTCTCCTCGGCCTGCCCGTCTGACCGCCTGCTCCTGCTCTCTTCCTCACAGGCTCGCTCCACGGACTTTTTGGGCAGATGATGCGCAATGCTACAACTTCAGCCTTCGAATGTACTGCTACAATGTCATTCGCTGTTTCTTCACTTCTGTCCAATTCGCGTTCCACTTGGCCAATTTGCGTATACAATCGTGTTCTTTCTGTGCCTCTCTTGTTCCTTCGTGCTCCCTCCCTCTCGCTCTCTCCTTCTGAACGAGCCCAGCCCGAAGGGGAAGGCTGGTCTGGGGTGTGTGGGGACAGGGTAAAGGACAAGTTCTCCGCTTCCCCACCTCAAGAGTTGGTGCGCCTCGTGCCTCTTTTTCCACTTCAGCCTCATCTCCCACTTCGGGCCGAGCCAGCAGCCAATCCGGACGGGGCAGACGGCCGTTTGTCGAGGTCCGGAGGCCACAAACCACACGACCTGTTCAACTGGCCAGTCAGGCCTTACTACTCGTTCTCTGTCCTCTCTCACTCTCGCCCATGTCTACTCGCCGTGTTCTAGGCTCTTGCAAACACCTCCCCGAGGTCGACTCCTTCACCTTTCCCAAACCCATCCCGGCTCCCACCGCCCCTCTACGGTCAATGGGATCGCTGTGGCCGGAGTTGCTGGCTCCTCTTCCGACCTATCACAACTTTACGTGCATTACAAAGCCCATGGACAGGACGTGCAGTTGGAAACATGTGTACAGACCCAGATACACACTTGGCATACACGACGGACTACACGTTCCACAAATACTCCGCGTTTAATTAGACCTGTGTTCTGACGTTAAACATTATCCCATCAGACTGTCCAACCTCTTCCCTAACAAACTCACCTATCTTTCCTCCTCCAATTGCCTCTGTTCCCGCCTCCCCTTTCCCGTATGCCCTCTTGATCACTCTTTCTCAGCATCCTCAGGCCTGAAAGCAGACGAAATTGTGGGCCCTAAAACGGATACATACTCACACACGCATACATACACACACACACAAACACAAGTAAACACAGACCAGAACGCGTACCCGGAAAGAGC